TTCGTCCGAGCGACCTTTGCGTCGATTTCACGGTCGACGTAGTCGTTCCAGACCATTCCCGCACCGCAAAACAGGTAGGCCGAAAAGAAACATAACGCAGTCTGCCGGAAGACGAAAGCGGGTTGAATGTTCGAATGGGGGTTGGATAGCTCGGTTGCTCCAGCTAGCAAAGCGGACCACACTGTCTCTGCTCAGTCGTGCTGGTTTGAAAACGTCGGCTTTACGGAAACATACCTCCTGCGAACGTGGTGAAGAGGGGCGTGTACTTGTTGTACCGAGAGAGAACCACGAGGTTCCAGAACAAAGTGACTTGCGTAGGCCTTGGCGGGCCGTAGTTGATCTCCTGAAGCTTCTTTGCATCCAGAGCAATCTTACAAAGCTTGACGGCGTCTGATATGGTATCCATGATCATGTAATAATGATAAGTGGACGACAATGATAGAACGCGTAGATTTCACAGCAGAATCATCGAAGCGGGCGAAGGATAAAAAGAATTCTGGATTCCTTCTCCGCCTTTAATTTCAAGAATGCCACCCCCTCTCTGCAGTCCAATCCGAGGCGCGCTCGCCTTGATATTCGCGGCGACAGCGGCATGCTCCGCGCGTTCATCTGGGCCGTTTCAGATGTGACGTCGGTTGGCCCGTTGAGTTTGTGATTGCATGGACTCTGCCTTACGACACATGCTGACGTGCGCTGGTTGCTACTTTGCCGTGTCTGGGATTTGCCTACAAGCATCTTAGCACCGTCCGTGGGTTCACGACAACCTCCCACAGCTGAATGGTGCCCGGGGTCGATGGTGGCCCAATAACCACAACAGACATTTATGCCCTAAATTCAAAAAGCCAGATGTGCTTTTAGGACGTTCCAGCTCTTCTCCCTTTTTCATGTAAAAATTTTGGAAAGCTGCAGGAGGCTTTGGAGTTGGACTTTGGTGGCCTTCGCAGGACTCACTTACCGAGCGCTTCGTGATCTGAACCCCAGGAATCCGTCCATCATAACGATCGATAGCGTCTCGGTTACTATTTGTGGATATTCTAGAAATCTCTAAGTGGGATCCAAGCCGAAGGGATCTATGCTCTATCGCAGATCGGGAACTAGCGGTGCACATCAGTCTTTAATTCCTCGGCTCCACGCCCACGTCACTCGCAAACCAGCAGCATCCCAGTTGAAGTTTAAACTTGGCACTCTAGCTGGCCCAACTCCGCCTCACCTCTACGTGGCGGCCCGTGAAGTGGTCTCAAGTGCCGCGGACCCCGCCTCCGGTCAATTTGAGGCTGCTGAACAAACGGCTCAATTTTGTTAGGGCGTTCCTGACGAAGGTCTAGTTATTGGCGGAGACTGATCGTGTGAACCAGTGGATCGTGCAAAGAGTCCCGCTGCAGAAACCAACAGTTTGGGAGAAAATCTCCTGACTTCACCTTGAGTTTCATTGGTGCGGGAGTCTGATGAGAACGGCGCTGCACCCACCTAGTGGGTGTGTTGAACTATGGCCACTCACTTTCCAAGAATGCCTCGATACGAAGAACAGTTTTCAACTCTGATCCGAGGCCAATGTTATACTGCAAAAAGATATTTTGATCGTAAAATTCCTTTAAAACTAGGATTTAAACGTAAACGACGTGATGTCAATACCTCTGTACGTCTGCCTAGGGGAGACTGGTTCAGGCTCGCCACGTTATTGTACCGTTAAGGAGCTATCTCAGACATACAACTGCGGTGGGCATCTAGTACATGTGGTCAGGGCCGGCCAGGCATGTATATGCTTAGGTTGTTTGGATTTTACCCCATCAATGACACTCGGCGTTTTCCTAGGCTCCCATCTTCATGTGCGGTGCACCTGTGAATAAGGTATCCAGCCAGGAAGGCCCTTCTTATGAATTGAGCGGTGGAGAGTAGAGGACATTCAAACATTTCTTGCATCTTGGTCGCATTCACCATAGTGCTAAACAGTAGGTACGTCTCATTTTGCTTTGGCTTTACACTGGAGTTTGATTGCTTGGTCGTTTTCGAGGCGATTCCACATCTCTTGTTGCTTCTTTGCCTTAGCAACCAGCGTTCTCTGCTGCGGAAGAGGCAAATGAGCAAGAGCCAATCGATCTCCTTGCTTCATTGTTGCCAGTTGCTTGTCGAAAATGGCATTTCTCTTCTCAGACACAACCAGATTTTTGGTTTTTTCATTATTGACAACCAAAGCCGTGGCATCGCTCAGGCTATCAGGCCGCTTTCCTTCTTCCAAAAGAGAGAAGCTGTCGGTTTCTCCTCCCGACTTCAAATCTCGGTGATCACGAATTTTCTTCGTCTTTCGATGGGATATCGTCTTCCCCGAAGGCAAGCGCCTTGTTTCGTCTTCCGCGTGAACAAAGCACGCGCGTCCGGAATCACCAAAGCGGTCGTCATCTGAATTGGTATTAGATTCAAAGTCATAAAAGTCTTTGAATTCGGAGTTCTCCTTTTCGACGTCGATTTTGCAGTGTCCCTTGCCAGTCATATGCTGTTGTGCGGCCTGTGGAGTATTCCGGATAGATCCACAATAGAGACATTCGGTGTACTCGTAGATCACAAGGTGGAGGTACTTGAATAATATCTCGAGGTCGACTATCAAACTCTCAGGATAGGGAATGATCATGCCGTGTCGCTTTCGCATATGATCAAGGTTTTTGTCCAGGTCTTCACTGTGACAATTGCAGAAAAGACATTGAGTAGGATCGAAAGCATCAACTGAGACGTCGCTCTCATCTGATAATTCCGAGTCTTGCTCATCTGGGTCTCCTATGTTGAGATTTGACAGCTCCTCATCTAGTGATGACGACTCGACGCCGACCTCCTCGCCTTCCGACGCCATGGTGGAACGAGAGATTCTGACGAAGTCGTTCTGGACAAATAAGAATTGAGTTCCTGACTGCGACATAAATATGGATGGCGTAAGAATGGATGTGCTCACGCAATTGATTGTGATGGGATGTTGCGGGCAATTTGGGTAAGCAAGAGAGGAATTTGGAGAGCAAGTACACGTTGGTGCGAGGGCATACCGAGGAGCATGACTTTAAAGGGCGGCACAATGGCAGGCGGCAATAGAAAGACCACCATTTGAGAAGTCCAGACTCCGCTCTGGTCCAAGTCACTGCTTACCTTCCTATTCGCGTAAGCTGCCGTGGCATCCGCGACATGCAGGCGCGAGAGCATGCGGGCCAATTGACAGGGATACGATCCAAACCAACAAGATCACATAAGTTCCGTTAATTTCCAAGCTAAACCATTTTGATACGTGCATCTTTCTTGGAATGTTGGATGGACTCTTAGAACAATGTGACTACTTAGAAGGTTTGTGTCACTGCTTCAAAGCCGTACAACTCCGAATTAGAGGAGTCTCGACCACAATCTCGCTTCGCTATTCACTGGCAGATATCTTGTTATGAACTGTAGTTGTCATTGCGCTAGACTATCGGTTTGCTTTCGACTCTAGTTCAAGTTTGTATGGATAACCTCCACCGCCACGGCGCGAATGCCCTTCTTTTCAACCAGACCTCCAAGAGCATGCAAATGTCTTGCCTGTTGCCGTTCCCCGAGATACTGACCCTGCTCAAGCTTTGGTCACTCCGGTTCTAGTGTTTTCATTAGTTCTTGGCTTAAGTACCTGACAGAAGATCAATGCCTACCTTTAAGACTTACGCCCACTTAGCAGGATACACCTGGACAGTGGCATCGGTCTCCTCACGAGCCCACTTGGCAGGGTAAACCTGAGGAGTGGCATCGGTCTCTTCGCGAGCCCACTTGGCAGGGTAAACCTGAGGAGTGGCATCGGTCTCTTCGCGAGCCCACTTGGCAGGGTAAACCTGAGGAGTGGCATCGGTCTCTTCGCGAGCCCACTTGGCAGGGTAAACCTGAGGAGTGGCATCCGTCTCCTCGCGAGCCCACTTAGCGGGATAGACCTGGGGAGTGGCATCGGTCTCCTCGCGAGCCCACTTAGCAGGATAGACCTGGGGAGTGGCATCGGTCTCCTCGCGAGCCCACTTAGCAGGATAGACCTGGGGAGTGGCATCAGAGCCTTCGGCAGCAACCTTGTTGGATTCGATGAAAGGCAGCGCTGTGACAACAGCCACCAGAGAGAGGACCGAGATGATTTGAGTCTTCATTTTGTCTCTTGCGATGAGAAAAAAGGTGAGATGCGGGTCTGAGATTCTAAACAAAGATGGCTGGATGGTCAAGTGCTGGGTAATGAGATGAACTGATTGCTTTGATGACCAAAAGTCCTGACGAGAGGAAGGCATTGAGGTTTATATACCTGTTCGGATGTCGCCAGGTGAATAGAATATAACGTTCATATACATGATTTGGCGCTCACAAGGCCGATAGCATCTCAGGATTTCGGCCAAATGCGTAGCCGCGGCTCCCGCCGGCGAGTTTGAACAACTCGTCATGTCTGTGCCGCATCACGACTTTCCTTACATTGTTCCCATTGGACCGAGACTCCGTGATAGCATCGGGTCTGTGTAACTGCGAAGCGGCTCCAAGACCGACGGCGATGGGCGCTTGAAACTCCGAGGACATCTGGGCAGGGTCCCTGCAGAACTGACTGCACGCTGGCGGCCGACCAGGATGGCTCACAAGAAGTTCCAACGATGTTCCAGCCATTTCACATCCTTGTTAAGGAGAAAATGCATCCTATTTCTTGGCAGCGTTAGTGGTATTTCACCATGTCAGCTTTTGAATATCCGACGTGCTACGGAAGTTCTTTTGGATGTCACCACATTGATGAGGCACAGCAGAGACTGCGAATTCAGGGAGAAAGGAACCCCGACGCAAATGACTCAAATTGAATGCAAGTTACATGCTGCGTCGATTCCAATAGAATGTTTCGTCTGAACCCCTTCTTTGTTGTCCTCCGCAAGTTCAAGCACCTGTTCTCAAGGGCTGTCAAAGAAACCCTCCTCACAATGCATTTTTCACTCTTTGAAAGCAAGAAGACCAACTACTCATCTTTAACAAGCACGGCAGAAGAAATGTCACCTAGCTGCAATGGAGGTGATTCGGAGGTGCCAGAGCCGCCAGCAACGCATCATACAACAGCACTTACCTCTTCTCGCACTCTCATCTGCCATGCCCTCTTGACCATTCTGGGTCTTTCTGGCGTGGCATATTTCACCAGCTCGCAAAATTCAGGCCCTCGGCCACCACAGCCCATTAGTTGTCAATGCGGCTCATCTGTTTCAGAAGCCCTCGATCTTGGGTGCAAGTACGACACTCTCTCAGTTTCTTGGCTTCCGGACCATTGCCGGGAAGACGAGCTGGTGGCCGAGTTTGATCGCGCCGGTCCGAATGGCAGTTGGCCCTACTACGCAGACAAAAATGCAACTATTCCCATCACCATTGAGACCATCTCTCGTCTCGCCGACCTGCCGCATGAACAGGCAATTTTCTACACATCAACAGGGTGGCATATTGCTCACTGCGCCTTTTACTGGCGCAAGGAGTTCAGGATGAGGGCTAGGGGTCTTGGGACGGAAAGCCGGTACGACAAGGAAAGCCATATTGAGCACTGCTACGAGATTTTCATGTCAGAAGATGCGCTTCACGAAGTTAACGTAGCCTCTCCAGTCTGGATAGGTGGGGATGGACAAGGCAAGCTACACAGCTCCCATCATCACGACGCTTGAAATGTAGTAAAGTTTAGCTAGAGGTAACAATTAAGGCGCAAAACTCATGGTGATAACCCGATAGTCTATGATTGGCCCTACCCTTTCTTCCGCTGTCGGCGATCCTTGGTGCATGCATGTAGACACAGACAAAAAACCGACCATAAAGTTACCGGGACCCTTTCCATCGGCCCGGACCCGCCCTTGCGCCCCGGCCCATCGACTCTTGTTGGACCCCTGCCAAGCGCCAACACCTCGCTTACATCCCAGCGAGTTGCTGCGGCATGCCTCGGCGCATCTTACCCTATATGGTTTCAGCTTGGAAGCCTTTTCCGAACGCGGAATCAGATAGCTTTTGATCGAAAGAATGTTATGTTGGTGTAAGGCACAGATACCAACAGCCCAGGTAGAGATACCATGATCCAGCCGAGAGACTTGCTGACGCAGCCGACCAACGGTTCCTCTGCGGTTTTGCAGACCAAAGAGGCAGTTCAGTTGGGCTTGGCGGCCTGAAAAAAGGGGACTTTGGTGTTGATTCTGCTTTGGTACCTGTGCCGCACAACTGCGTTCTCGCACGAGTCACTCTATCTCCTTCCTAAAGGAGATTCTGCCGCGCAATGAGCAATAAGCAATTAGGCGGGCCTGTAAGATTGCCAGGTTTCCGATGCCAAGAAGAACCAACAGAAGTCTGGACCCTGAAAATTCCATTCGCAATGCAAACATAGCAGGCACAGCAATTTACTACCAGGGCTCGAAAGCGGTTATTGACGAGTACGACTCAGTTCTGAGGGGCTAAAACTCCTCGTGCAAGCCGCAGGCTATGGGACTTCAGCAATTCCATGCCACAAAAGTTCCAAACTCGTCGCCACGGAGCTTATTTTTGCGCCCGTTCTTTCACCTCCCCTGAATGAAGCTGAGCCGTGAACAACCGTTGGAGCTCGGAAACCAACCAAGCATCCGGTCAACATACCGAGATCGTTCGAGGCCGGTCAGAAAATGCTTCCAACAAGGATAGATCTGCACTGTAACCATCAGAAGAACGCAAAAGGAACTTTCGTGAACTCCTTCCTGGCGGCTGTCTTTGAATTGCGCAATGTCGGGGGTAAAATCCTCCAATTGAGGCACAGTCAGATGTCTGTTCATATGACTGGAACTTGAGTCTATCCCAGGTGCCCTCGATGCGTGGGAGAGAGACCGCGACACCTCGACCATTTCATGCTGGATTCCATTCTCCATGGTCGCTGCTGGCGATCCAAACACATTGTTTCTCGTTTGCAACTGACCTCAAGATGGGCGAAATCAATTGCTCTGCTTCTAAGGAGAGACTGCTTTCATCTTCGTTGTCTGGGTATGAGGATGACAACGTGGAACAAGTCCAGAAGCCATGTCGACACAAGTACTTCTGGGTTCTTCTGCTTGGGTTTGGCTTGTCGCTCGTGCTAAATCTCGGACTACTCAGTCTTTTGTTCTACAGAGCTGAGCTACCGAATTCGAATCCATCGAGCTCAGCCAAGACTGCCATAGCTCTCTACTGTGAGTCAATTCACGCTGATCAACTCTTCTGAACGTGTCTAATATCTTCTAGCGCCAGCCAATGATGCTGTCGAGTATCATTTGACCAAATTTGCGAGCGCAGTCGAGGGAGGCGAGACAGACTTCCAGGGAAGGCCTTCCGTGAAAACTGATCAAGCTTGGCAGGGTTTGTATGAAAGTGAGCAAAATGGCATCTTGATTTTCTTGAAACCGAGTTGACAAGTCTTTCTACGCAGATATGTTCACGCACATCACAGAAGGAGAGGCTCGAATGCTACCGAACAAGACCGCACCCGAGCTCGAGTCTGAAGGAAGCGGATACCTAGTCGTCCTGAATGTCTTCCACGATCTACATTGCATGGATAACATTCGAAAGGGGCTCTACTACTTCCTCGAACCGCAATGGAACAACACATATAACCCTTACCTCCTATACGAATCGCCTGAAGCCGCGCTTGAAGCTCGTGGGGGCGATCACTTGGGGATTATGCATCTAGACCATTGCATTGACTCACTCAGGCAGTCAATCCAGTGCACCGGAGATGTTATCCCGAACGTTTTCCAGTACAGCCCAAAATATGGCGATGTTCGGGCTCGCTCTACTGTTGTGCACGAGTGTCGGAATTTCGACAAGGTGAGTGCAGCCGCCTATTCAAACGTGTCCACGACTTACACGCAGTTTCATCGACAGATTCAGGAGTGGGCTGCTCAGCACCACGTCCCAGGCCCTTTCAAAGACTTTGGTAATCGCCCCGAGCTCGGAAAGTGTGGTATTGACGACCCGTGGACTTGTTTGTATGAATAGATGAATAGATTTCAGATAGTTCTCCTAGGAAAGCTTATTGTCTCAGCTTTTTGTCTCGGCTTTTTGCTTCCTATGATTCCTATTGATTAACCCTGAAGTTGCAGTGGAGATCGCAATACTGAACCAATTGAATGTGAAATCTACCAAGACGGCATCACATCCCTGTACCCCTTGCACAACGTGGACCCGGTCTAGACTAGCCCAGCTAGGAAGCTGGGATCGAGGCTCCCGTCCCGGCTCGGGCGTGCCCTGCATTTCGTGTTGGTACTTCAGCAAGGGCTGTCAGCTGTGTGCTCACGCCACGGGGGGGAATTTGTTTGGTCTTCCTCTCTCTTTTCTTTTTTCTCTCCTGCGTGTTTTTGACTGCTGTACTGTGTCGCCGACATCAACAACCGTGCTGCGATGAACGCGTCGGTGGATTTTGATGCCTTCGGGCCGCAATTGACAGGACGATTCGACTTCACGCTTTATTTTGAACAAGCAATTCTGTCCATCATCCCGTCCGCGCTCTTCTTGGCGATCCTTCCCTGCCGGGTCACATGGCTGTTGCGGAGACATTCGATCCCGCGCAGCGGATGGCTTCTCTTGGCAAAGCTTGTACGTGACATGGCCACAACAAAGTTGAAGAACCTCATCTAAGATCTCCCTCCAGGCTGCTAGCACAATTCATCTCTCCCTCCAAGCGACTCTCTTGGCACTATGGGCACTTCCGACCACAATCAGAACTCCAGCCTCGTTAGCAGCAGCTATTTTAGCCCTAGTCAACTCGATATTTCTCATCGGCTTGATATATGTGGAGAATGGGCGCTCAACTAGACCGTCTAAGCTCCTCAGCATCTATTTGTTTATCTCAGCTTTGGTGGACATGGCTCAAGCGAGATCGCTCTTTCTGCAACAGCCCAACACGAGTGGAAGAATTGGTGCTGTGTTTGCAGTGTCTCTGGCCATGAAGCTTCTTCTTGTCTTGCTGGAAGAAATACCAAAGTCAGGTTTGCCGGAACCTTCATCAAAGGAAGAGATCAGCGGGCCGATCAACAGATCTGTATTTGGCTGGTTGAACCCTTTATTCCTCCTAGGTTCCAGGGGCACGTTACATGTTGGAGATCTCGGAAACATCGATCGCAAGTTTGACTCCGCTCGGCTGCTGTCGAAGCTGAGCTGCTCCTGGGATAGCAGCGACAGATCTGCCGAACATGCCCTGCTCAAATCCACGCTCTCCGCTTTTAGAACGGGTTACCTGGCACCCATTCTTCCGCGATTGTGTCTGGCAGCTTTCAACTTTTCCCAACCTTTTCTGATTAAGAGGATCATTGAGTTCGTAGGGGAGTCCAGAGACATGCAGTCTCGCGAAGTTGCAGGAGGACTTATTGGAGCTGCCTTGCTGGTTTATTTGGGGCTAGCAGTCAGTGTCCCCACCCTCTCTCCCACTGTAACGAGTGGTGTACTGATTCCTTAGATCTCCAAAGGCATTTACAACCATGCCGTGTACCAACTCACGACCACGCTTCGAGGCGGACTGGTTTCTATCATATTTAGAAAGTCTCTTGGACTGGACGCCGCAACAGCTAGCCAAGGAAAGGCTGTTACTCTCATGAGCACCGACATTGACGCAATCGCCAGTGGAGTCAAAGATCTGCATGAGATATGGGCTAGCGTGCTCGAGCTAGGCATAGCTGTCTATTTACTGAATTTGCAAATCGGCGCCGCGTGCTTTGTCGTTATGATTCCAGCCGTTGGTAAGTGGTCTCTGTGTCTCCCCTATGCCGTTTTGACTCTGTGACTGACAGATGAACAGTGTGCAGTTTCATCACAGAGAGGGCCACTGACGGCATTGGTCCTGCCAGGATGATGTGGAACGAGGGTGTCCAGGAACGCGTTTCCACAACTTCTTCAATGCTTTCTCAGATCAAGGGTATCAAGATGATGGGTCTCACTGACTACTTTGCCACCATGGTACAGCAACTCAGGGTTGCGGAACTTGACATGTCTAAGAAGTTCAGGATGTTTATCGTGCGGATCATTCTCATTTGTGAGTCGCCGACTTCGCAAACTCTCCACCATTCACTCGCATCTGACACTTCCAACAGCAAATCTCTCAGATCAGATGACCCCGGCCGTGGTCGTGACGGCTGCAGTCTTCTGGACCCGGGCGGATGGCTTCACCATATCCCAGGCCTTCACATCTCTCGCCATTGTGGCCTTGGTGTCTACACCCCTGGCTAACCTCATTGGCTCTTACCCGACTTTTGTGTCCTCTGTCTCCTGTTTCGGTCGCATCCAAGAATTTCTCGTACAAGACGAGCGCAGACCCGAACAAGTGCAACACACTGACGCCGCCGAGAGGAAAGCTTCCGTGAGCACCACTTCGATCCCCGATACCACGTCGCACACGACCTCAAAACACCGCGCCATAGAAATGGAGGAAATGCATGCGCCACAACCTTCAGAGAAGTCCGGCGATGCTATTAGTCTCGAGAACGTGAATGTCGGCGTCGAGGGAAAAGACGAGCCAATCCTCCGAGACATCACGCTGTCCGTTCCAAGAGCCAAATACACAGAGATCACTGGCGTCGTGGGATGTGGAAAGTCCACGTTACTGAAGACCATCCTTGAAGAACTTCCTTTGATCAGTGGTAGCATCCGGTTTGCACAGCTCAACATGTCGGTTGCTTTCTGTGAACAGTCAGCTTGGCTACGGAATATTTCCATCAAGGACAACATCGTTGGCCAAGAGCAGTTTGAAGATGGGTGGTACGGACGTGTTCTTTTCGCCTGCGACCTAAAGCAAGATATTTCTAGACTACCAAATGGAGACGACACGCTTGTTGGTAGCGGAGGCATTACACTCAGTGGTGGGCAGAAGCAAAGAGTTGTAAGTACCGTCAAGTCCTAAGTGGAGAACCCTGTTCACTGAGAACGTCTTATCCAGGCGCTTGCGCGAGCTGTCTTTGCGAGACGGTCTATCGTTCTTCTAGATGACCCTTTTAGTGCTCTCGACGCTGAGACCCGAACGAAAGTTTTCAGCCGTCTACTTGGTGAGGAGGGCCTTCTGCGAAAAGGCGATACCACTGTGATCCACGCCACCCCCGCCGGTAAGTTGGCTTGCCTGCTCACTGTCGGCAACTGCCACCATTGTTGTCATCCCGTGAGCAAGTCAACTGACACGATTCCACTAGGCCCACGAAAGACAACTGCCGACAACGTTATACTTCTCAGTAAGACGGGGTCTGTTGAACAAGCAGGACCCTCGATCAGTCTTGCCACGGCATTCAAGGACGTCGATGTTGAGCCTCAGCCTGAAGATAGCATTCAACAGGATGAAGATGTAAGTGCGGCGGCCGAGACATCAGAAGCCAAGGAAGAAGACGCTACTCAGCGGCAATCGGGCGACTTCTCGCTCTACAAATTCTACCTTCGATCCATAGGCCCGGCCCTAACCATCGCTTTCATTCTTGCTGCGGCCACGTACATCTTTCTGGGCTTCATGCCAAATATCTGGCTCAGAATTTGGACCGAGCGCGGAACCAACGATGGAAGACGCGGCGCTTACTTAGGCGCCTATCTGGCATTTTGTATCGGAACCGTCCTGTTCTCGGGACTGGCCATCGGGCTGTTTTTCGTCGTCGTCATCCCCCACTCAGCCACAAGGCTCCACTGGCAACTTCTCGACTCTGTTCTTAAGGCTCCTCTGTGGTTCTTCACAACAGTGGACAGCGGCGTCACTCTGAACCGCTTCAGTCAGGACATGACGCTTGTCGACCAGACTCTACCTACGGCCTTTTTCGAGGTTGTGCTCGACACTCTGGTCGCTATCGCTTCTGCAGCACTTATCGCCTCAGGTGCCCAGTACTTCGCAGCTATCATTCCGTTTTGTGTCTTGCCCTTATACTTCTTGCAAAAGTTCTATCTCAAGACATCGCGGCAGATGCGTCATCTTGATCTCGAGTCAAAGTCCCCTCTTTACACTCACTTTACAGAGACTCTCAACGGCGTTGTGACAATCCGTGCATTTGGATGGCAGCAGGAATTCGTCAAAGAACAACTCCGTCTACTTGATATTTCTCAGAGACCTTACTATCTCCTGTTTTGTATCCAAAGATGGCTAGCGATTATGTTGGACCTGTTCGTGGCGGTGATTGCCACCGTTCTGGTGAGAATGCCGCTTCTATCTGCGGTGTTCGGACGTTCTGACTAGTCCCAGGTTGCCTTCGCTGTCAAACTCACCAACACTACAAGCGGTGGTGCCATTGGTCTATCCATGGTCAGTCTCATGGGCCTGAACTCTAGCTTGTCGCGGCTGATCAGCTCTTGGACAAACTTGGAGACTTCCCTCGGCGCAATCGCCCGGTTGCGTGATTTTGTCCGCGATACTCCTCAAGAAGACGGCGTCAATACCCAGAGTCTGCCTCCAGTCCCTCAAGGGTGGCCATCTCCTGGTGCAATTGACTTCAAGAGTACAAACGCTAGATACAAGTATTTCCCCCCATCCCATGCCGTACATTTAGTGAAAGGGGCTGGTGCTAATTATTGCGAAGGACCGATGATGAGAGTATTCTCCGCGAACTTTCTCTGAGCATCAAGCCTGGCCAGAAGGTCGGCATATGTGGACGCACAGGAAGGTAAGTCATCTCTCTGTACATACCGATTACGGGAACCACTACTCACGCTGGCCAACACAGCGGCAAAACTTCTCTGCTTCTCACTCTCCTTCGCCTTCTCGAAACGCCGTCGGGATCCATCCAAGTCGACGATGTCGACCTCTGTTCTCTCTCGCGCAAGGCAATCCGACCACATTTCATCACTCTGCCTCAAGATCCAGTGACCCTTCCTGGGACTGTTCGAACCAACCTTGACCCGAAGGCATCCTTCGATGGAGAATCACGAGACAAAGCACTTGTGGAGGCACTGGAGAAAACGTTTCTTTGGGACAATGTCATCAAGTCTCGCGGGGGATTGGACGCTGACTTCGCTGAGTTGGGTCTGTCCCACGGCCAACAGCAGTTGTTCGCTCTGGCTCGCGCCATCTTGCACAAAGACCAGAGCAAGGTCGTGCTGCTGGACGAAGCAACCAGCAGTGTCGATCACGGAACCGATAAAATGCTTCAAAAGGTACTCAGGGAGGAGCTCGCTAGCCACACCATTCTAGCCGTGGCGCACAGGCTCGACACAATTGAGGACTATGATGTTGTAGTGGTGATGGACAACGGTAGGATCGTGGAGGTAGGCAATCCGAGACAGCTTCGAGAGCAAACCGGATCAGCCTTCCAACGTCTCTATGTGTATTAATCATATCAGAAGGTGAGCTGGCTGAAGTTCATATTGATAGCTGCCTTCAGAGACGACTCACTCGTCTGAATGACCCTGTGAGAAGTCTAGCCATTATGGAAATTATCCTGGCTCTATTCTTTGGATATTTGAAAATGACAGGCTGTGAGTAATACGATAGATAGCACTGCAATAGAAAATATACAAAAGAGTGATGTGCAATTGCAAGTCATTAGTCGATCGGCGGCGCATGGGGGAGCCGTGGCGGCTATCACTTTTCAACGTATGCGCCTTCTTGTGGATCAGGGTTTTGTCAAGTGCTGGCATCGAAGTCGAGGAAGTTCAACTGTAATTATGAAGGAGAATTTTCGTAGATAAATTGCCGAACGAAATGAAATATTGAGAAGTGGGCTGCCTTTGGATTGGGAAGCTTCGGTGGTGTTGATCTGTTGAGTCATAACCGCAAATTTTCCTCGCCCAGACTCTTGGTGATCGTTTCCAGGTTAATCTCAGCCAGGGGGTACCGGACTCCGGAGCCTTTCCGACGCAGTGCAATGGTAAGCACCATAGTCACCCGGGCCCGTTCCGAAACTACCTCCTTACGTAGGACAGCAACACGGCAGCTTTTATCTCTGCATCTACCCACTGGCAGATTCCCTGTCGAATCCTACGCAAGCTATGATCGGGAAGTTTTTCTTCCCGGTCAACGAAACGCCATGAAGTGAGTCGGACGCAATGAGTCACCAAAGTCAATGCTTGGGTTTAAGAAGGCAGTCTTTGGAGAGTTGCCGCAACATGTGTAGAAGCTGTTCCATCATCAACACGTCCGCCCAAAAGACTAGATGTTACACACTCCCGTCCTTACACTTCAAACCTTTTTGCATTTCAGCATCAAGTTTTCAACGAATCGCGTAGATTAGAATACGGGAACAATGACGAGCATCAACCGATCGGATTCTTGTGGCCTAACGCATGCCCCTAACGAGTCGGCACCACGCGAGATCTACAACCGACCAGTCAAGAGCTTCCTGAGCAATGTTTCAAGATTTAAGTTGATTGAGACAACACTTCGCGAGGGAGAGCAATTCGCGAATGCCTTTTTCGATACAGGTTTGTCTTGCCTGCCCCTGATCTTGCTCCCACGTTCTGTCAAGGCCTACACAGATACACACTCCCTTCATGGATAGCAGCTAACCAGTTTACCTTAGAAACCAAGATCAAGATGCAAGAGCCCCCGATCGGAACTGCTTGACCAAACGAACGATTCGGAACATTAGCTTACATGAGGACAGAGCCAAGAAGCTTGATGAGTTTGGAGTAGATTACATTGAGCTTACAACTCCGGTCGCATCTCCACAGTCACGCAAGGACTCCGAGCTTATATGCGGACTCGGTCTCAAGGTACGACCCTCCATGCGCTTCTTTTGCGTCATTCCTGATTGACACGCTTTTCAGGCCAAGATTCTAGCACACGTGCGATGCCATCTGGATGACGTACGAGCGGCCGTAGAATGCGGTGTTGACGGAGTGTAAGGCAACCCCACAGTCAATTCCCCGTCACTGGCAGCAGAGATTGATTGTTTGATGCAGCAACATCATGGTGGGAACGTCGGCTCTCCTTCGCCAACATTCTCACGGCAAGGATGTTGCCCAAATCATCAAGGCAGCGATCGAAGTCATCGAATACGTCAAGTCCCAGGGCCTCGAGGTCAGATTTTCCACTGAAGACTCTTTCCGATCCAATCTCGTCGACATTCTTTCCGTCTACAAGACCGTGGACAAGATTGGTGTCAATCGCGTAGGAGTTGCGGACACCATTGGGTGCGCAAACCCGCGTCAGGTCTACGATCTGATACAAACCCTTCGAGGGGTCGTCTGTGAGTCATCGCCCCGAAACACCAGCTTCCTCAAAACAGCAATAAAAAAAGCAAAGAAGTGTCACAAATAAGACCCCATTTCTGACTTTTCAATATTCAATCAGCGTGCGACATCGAAACCCATTTCCACGATGACACCGGCTGCGCTACCGCGAACGCGTACACTGCTCTAGAGGCAGGCGCCACCCACATCGACGTCACAGTGCTCGGTATCGGCGAGCGCAACGGCATCACACCCCTCGGTGGCTTCATGGCGCGCATGATTGTCCAGAACCGTGGATACGTCACTAGCAAGTACAAGTTGTACATGATCAAGGAGCTGGAAGACATGGTCGCAGAAGCTGTGCAGATCAACACGCCCTTCAACAACCCCATCACTGGATTCTGTGCATTTACGCACAAGTCGGGTTATCACGCCAAGAGAGTCTTGAGCCATCCGAGCAACTACGAGATCATCAATCCCGAAGACTTTGAGATGACGCGATACGTCCACTTCGAGTCAAGACTGACGGGCTGGCACGCAGTAAAGACCCGCGTGAGCCAGCTTGGCCTGGACATGCCGGACGTTCAAGTCAGAATTGTGTAAGTACTGGTTCAATAGGAAATCATCTGGTTGAGACTCTCAGCAGGCTTACTGACATCACGTTCTAGAACCGAGAAGATCAATACGCTGGCTGACATTCGCCCATTGGCTATCGAGGATGTGGACTCTATCATTCGAAGTTTCCATGCAGGTGAATCGCATGACCAATAGTTATCGCAGGGTCGGGCTTGGATTGATACGTCTATAGAGATATCATGACTAAAATTAAAGCAATGTTCTGCTCTCAGTCTTCCATAGATGTATGGTCAGCATCCCCCTGCTGTAGGAGCTTACTGAGCGGGGTCGACCGCCTTGTAAGTAGAGTCGACGGAAACCTCATCAAACCAGACTTGCCGGAATGCCTGGCTTCCAACCATCCTATTGTCGTCGTGCCAACTACTAGCGTACAAGCCCACACGGAATGCGAACTTGCTGTTATCGTTGCTAATCGTTGTAGCAACATCGTATTTCTCAAGCACCTTGGCCCCATCGAACCAGATCTTGTAGAAGCCCGTGTTGTCGCTATTCCATCGTGCCTGAATGATGACCGTGTGCCATGCTCCAGCGGAGACGGTGGCAAGGTTGCCAAACTCAGAAAAGTTGCGGACGCAGTTTGGACTGGTGTATTGTCCGCTGACGATGCGTGATGTGAGTTGATTGCCCTTGAGCCAGAGCATGGACGAGGGCATCCAGTCGTCATCACCGCAACCCGCGCCGGGACGATTGGCAATGAACTGAGCGATGTTGTAAGACTGCGTTCCTTCGAAAGACCAGCTCTCTGACAAGCGAAAAGCGAAGCCGTAGAAGCGCTCGTCGCCACGGGTGTAGCCGTCCGAGACGTCTACCTCGGAGTGGTATCGGCCGGTATAAGACGCGTCGTAGGTCTGCGTCATCTTGAGGGCTGTGGTACCTTTATATACGACGTTGGTGACTTGTTGAACTGTCCCATCATGCTCTGCGCGAGAGGCGTCCCAGTTGCCAGGCAGAGTGCCGGGGTTGTAGAAAGGGTATGTGGCTTGAACAGCGAAGGGGAGAAGGGCCAAAGCACTGGCAGCGAGAGACTTGGGAGTGATCATGATGGCAAGAATGTCTTTGCTTTAGGTTTGATCAGGATGTTCTACAAAGTGGCCTAGATGATGCTTTATATGTTCATTTAGCGTCTGACTTCGGAAGTCATTGAGACAGTTGAGCCCATCAGAGAGAGGCAAAGATGTACTACGGTGTTTCGCCCGAGGACTCGAGGCCACCAATTTCGTCACTTAGTACCAGTCTTACTGAATGTTCCATTGCATCCGAAAGGTTGCCGGTCAACTCGAAGACAGTTTCAGGCTTTCAATCAAGCGCCGGTACCTGTGTCGCCAGTTGAGCCTGCCATGCATGGTGCATGCACTGAATGTGTATGGACTATTATTCAGCCATCTTACTTGCATCAGTCAATGAAAGGAAATCAAGTGTCATGAGACTCCATTCGGTCAAGCATGGCGCAAGAAAATTCGATAGTGCTACTCAACTTGACTCACGTCATTGGACAGGGAACGCTGATAATTGTTCGTAATTGCTACCCGTCCAAATCAGGCAGGTCAATACCCGTGCATAGGCTACTCGACCTCCACACGAGACATGCTACTGTCCTAGGCTTCAGCTGGGCTGCATGTCTCCGCCTGCTGCAACGCTACGCCGGTCAGCAACAGAGGCCATGTTTCCGGACAGAATATCGGGAGTGGGGCCGGCCACGGCACCGAGTGGGTCCCGGTGAAGGCGTACGTGTGGGGATACGTCAGGATTACATAAGCCATCAAATATTTTCGCTGCAGCAGACTCATCTCAGAATCAAAATCCCAACCTGTCGACGACATCAATGTTCACAAGAATGGCATCCGCAAACACAAAAGCGGCCCCGGCGGCTCTGGCTCTTCCCCCAAACGTATCAATATTCACGCCAAAAGATGCAAGCGCGACAACTAATCTTCTGAACGGCAAGGTCTTTACCCGCCTTACCATCACGGACAAGACACAACCGGCACAAATCTCGGCGGCGCTGAAGACGGCAAAAACCAGCGAAACCTTTTGCCTCACTCACCAGAATGTCATCTTGATTTTTGATCAGGATCAAGATACCCACCATGAGCATTTCCGGGTCGTGTGCTTGGCTCTGAGAGATGCGGACATCGGATTGAGCGTTTCTGGATGCATTCACGACGCCCCGGAGGTCTTGCAGGCTGGATTTCAACTGGACACGCTAAACTCGGGCTCAATCTTGGTCATTGATTTGATGCATGACGACGATGACGACGATGACGACGATGACGACGATGATGATTCGGACGATGAAGAGGCCAGCCTTGCTGCCTTGATAAATGGAGAGTCTGGGGCGACGACGCCTTGAGGTGTACCCTATCGACAACAGCCCTGGCGGGGCCTTACAGTTTTATGAAAATGATTATCAAGAGTGGGAGCAGTTGTCAAGCCGTCAACCGGAGAGGATGGGGTTTCCTACAACGGGGCGGTGGTCTTGACTTTTCAATGACCTCCGAGGGGGGTTGTGTATTCATAATTCACCTTTGACGCGAATAATAATCTCAAATCATCCAACCCTTTTTTGGTGCTTTTGCTAAGCAGGAACTCATTATGGCGTCAGTCTTAAAGTCTGGTGTAAAAGAGGCCTATAGGTCACCAGGCTACTCATTGACTCTCTAATTTCATATTCCCTCTACTCAATGTGATAAAAGAGAAAACTCCTTTCACCTTTCAATATCCTTACTCTCGTCTAAACTTCAATAAATCGCGCCATCCAGGTATTAGTGATTTGCTTGGCTTCGTCCACTAGACCCATATCTAGAAGCAATTGAACGGTTCCCCTGAGAGCACTCTCGAGGGCACTGAAAGTCCAGGTATGTGTGAAAGTAGCCGCCTCGCCGATAAACACAGTATTGAATTGAGTTTGGTAGAAAGCGGGAAGGTAAAGATCTTGCTGCGAGAAGATTTGCATCGTGAAAGCTCCTGCATGGTGCTCATCCTGTTCCCAGCAGTGTCGAGCGGAAATGCCCGTCCAATTCTCTTCTACGACATCGCCGTGGACTTGGATGAGAGCTCGTTTGATGTAGGCAAGGTGCTCCTGTTCAGACATGGAGCAAGCGACTGTAGCCTCGTAGTCGGAAAGGTAAGAAGCCAGCAAAGTGCCTGGCCCAGTCGCGTTTAAATCCCAGGAGGGGTAGCACACCTGGCCTAGTTGTGGCTTCGTGAGACGGGTGCAGCCGCCAAAAATGGGCTTCTCGAGATGTTCCCAGAACCGAGTCTTGAACTGAACAGCAACCTTGACAGCATTACCGAACAGGGTTCGATCAACAGCGCGCTTCAGAAGGCTTGAGTAGGGGGGCAGATCCCAGAACTTTAACAGGTTAAGTGGGACACTGTTCATAACGTAGTCGAAGGTCTCGACTTCTTCAGGGGTCTCGAAAGGCTCGGCTCCAGTGGGCTTCCAGGTGACAGATACAGTCTTGTTTTCGTTGTAGTGTAGACCGTTCACCTTCGCGCCGTACTGGATCCTGCCCTTCATGAGAGGCTCAAAAGCGGCTGGCAGTCTACTGAGCCCGCCCTTGACAGTAAGCCACTTGGTGGCGAGAAAGTAAACGGTTTCGTATTCCCACATGGGCCAGTAGATGTGGGATGGTGAAACCTCATCAGTGGTGTTGAGGTCTGTTTTGATGACGTCCCGCAGATAGGAGACTTCCGAATAATCGAACATGCCGTCTTCCTTAGCTTGCTTATAAGCTGCGAAAATGTTGGTGGCGTACATGCGAATTCGTTCGGCGTCGAGACCCTTGAACTTGTCCAGAGCAGCAATGGCCTCGGCAGCAGCAGTGGCATTACTATAGACGGTAGGGTTTGCGTAGGCCGGGTCGGTTGCCACCTCGGTCTTTCCGGGGAACGTCCCATCAGGGCGTCGAAACGGAGAATCGACAGGGGTGTTGGGAGAGCTCTGGATCCAATCCCAAAACTTGACTTGCACCGACTCATTGCCAGCGTTGAGCTCGTTGAGTACGTCGGCCAGCTGGAAAACGATGCGTTGATCATTGAATGGGAAGGTCTCATTGGTCTCGGAGTCTGTGATCTCGACCGGGAAACGCATGGGCCCAAGCTCGTGATACTGACCTTCCTCGGGGGCGGTACCATTGAGATAGACAGTCCTGAAGCGGCCGCCGAGACGCTCAGATGACTCCAAGATCTTCCAGTTGTGAATACCAACAGAGTCCAGGAGTAGCTATGATCCAAACAGGTCAGTCCATGCACCCAAAGATCAATGGAGCCGGCAACTTAGACTTACAGACGACATCAGTCCAGACATACCGGCACCGAGAATACCGAATGACTTGTTCTTTGCCGCGGTGACAAATGCCTCATCAGGTTGCTTCTGCTCCAGATAGGCCACGCCGTTGAACCACATGCTGTCGTCTCCTCCCACGTCTGCGAACGACCTTTTGGCACTTCGCCGAGTCATCCGCTTGGCGACTGGGAGGTCCTCGGATTGCCCCACGAGTTCACCATTGAGGAAGGCACGAAGACACCCGCCATTCGTGTTGGTGGGTGTCAACCAGACGAACTTTGTTGGCCGCCTGTCCTCATGGTCCATGTGGCGCGCAGCTAGGGGATGGTCACCAACATGAGTTGTGCCGAGACGCTGCTTCGCGTCCGAGATGACGGCAGCACCGTCGCATGAGTCGTAGGTGATCGTGAGTTCGCCATCTGCACTGCCGCCATACTCAATAACGACGTTATGAGCACTTCCTGGGCTGACCTCCGAAGGGGACAGGAACGTCACAGAAGGCTGATCCAGCGGCTTTGCCTCTGCCAAAGAACGCAAACCTCCCAGGAGGGGAACCAAGTGAATCGAGGATCGCATGGTTGACTCCTACAGGCGATGGGGTGCACAAAGACTTCAAGACATTATGAACGTGACAGAGGCTCCCTTATAGAGAGGGGTGTATCGTCCGCGTAGAGTGGTTTTCGGAAAATGGCTCAATCAGAGCGTAATCCGGCTTGGTTCCAATGCCAAGGAAAGTTTACCGATATCGCCTGTCCGGATGTTCGTCATGGCCAGGAAACGGGTTGCTTCAGTCCAAAATGTGTCATGCATAACCACTCGAGCAACAATGTGGGCTACTCCATACCCGATAAGACCGCATCACACCCCATGCAAACATTATCGACAGAGTAGCGATGTTCTTGTTTGTCGGTGAAGAAAAAAGCGTTCAGGTTTCCGTCCGGATCATGGGTCTAGATGTTGCCAAGAAGCTAAAGAGAGATGAGGATCGGTTGATAAGGCAGCGTGCGGCAAAAATGGAGATAAGAGCTGCAATTGATAGGTTTGTGTCTGTGCAGATAAGAAAGACGCGATAGGTAGGTAAACAAATAGCCGACGCCAAGCAAGAAAAGAAGAGACCCTTGTCGTTTCCCCGCATTGGCAAGACGTTCAGCAATGATGGCGGTTGAGCCTTTGTGATGTGGTTAGTTGTTCCAAGCAGGAGAAAAATGCGAAGTTCACTTCATGGGGGGGTCATGATGGTCGCAATCCTTGAACTTCCGGCTTGCCCTTTGCTGTGTTGCGTCCTTCAGGCATTGGTTTGGCCTCCTAAAGCTGACTTCTACGAGTTAGAGCCAAATTTATATAACGCCTCGAGCCCAAAGACCGTCTCAGTGGTCAGGAAGTTGTTTGTCGAACATGAGGATATTGGAATTGTTGAAGGGTATCTGATTCATGGTGATTCATGGTGAGGACTTACCTACCTCAGTTTCAGTTGCTGGACTGGATCCATTCAACCCGTGGAAGCACGCGATAAAGGCATCAAAGGTTTCGATCGTCCGCGGGAAGGATATTGAGGAAAACCTGAGCATCTTCGCCAGTCTTCCCACTTCTTTGTATCAACTATCAGGCTTTCTATATGTTGCAAGTTCTCGATAATAACACATAGGGTTCATTTCGGTGTGCCGATCTCCGGCCGGACCGTTGCACGCCACTTCTCACTGCACTGGAAGGCGTCGTTGGCCAATGTGAAGTCTTCTCGCCGGACTGATGGTGATCAATCAAACCGACATCCGGAAAGAGTTCCTTTGCAGCTGTTTCTAGATCGTGTCGAGGAATCGTGTGACCATTAGCTTCCTCGGTGAAAGCCTCAATTTTCACCTCGGGGATATCAAGTAACGAGGCATCAGATGCTTCGATCTTGATCGTTCTGTTGGTGCTATTGCAAGCCAGCTGTGCAAGACGCTCCTTCTCCTTGCGGGTCTTCAGAGTTTCGGTGAAAATGTATTCCGTATTGGCGCTGATCAAACGTCGATTCGCCTTGGCCAAAGACTCCATAGCAGCTTCGTACTTTGTGCGAAAGGGGATGAAGCGTTTCTCTGCTTTGCTGAAAAGCATGTCGGACTTCTCTTTGCGCTTCCTTACCCTTTGGCATTGCTTGTACAACTTTCCCCCTAGCGTCTTGGCCTCGTCGAAGTCCAGATAGACGCCCAAGTGGATCTCGTTCCTGTCGCGTGTGTCTTTTATCGAATAAAATTTTGCCATCTCTTCGAAGTGTTTGGGCTTCATCTCATCGAGGCGTCGCTGCATTTCGTCCTTCTCTGCAACGGCGACATCAACCTCTTCAGCGAGGTCGCAGAGGAACTCGTCGACGACTCAGTGTGCGGTTCCCGCGAGTTTGCCGCAGGCATCGCACGCGACTCTGGTCATTGTTCGCATATCATCCATCTAATTTCTTAGCATTGATTTGGAATTCCGGCTTATTTGGCTCACATTAAACCCAATCGCGTGAGGTTATGGGGTATGGACGTCGTGGAGGAAGTTGAGTCGGTGAATTGCGAGGTGGGAGCAGTGGACGCGTCGCGTTCACTGCCGGGCGCAGGTCGTTCAGCGCGTTCAGGGGGCGCCAGGATGTACCCGCCTACCTCAAGCATGTGTAGGCCGCCATTGATCTTGAACCACCAAATCCTCGGTGCTCACGATGAATGTTTTATCTCAAAGAGAGACATAAATGGGTTTTCAGTTAATGTTTACTTAAACATAGTGTCCCGGTTCCGGTGAACTCGTTCGTTGAATAGCTCGGAGTGACATTCATAGATGAATTCTTGTTAACCAGCACACGCTACCAAGACGGTATTGTCTGCAAAGCATTTCAGAGCAGCAAATTTGGCATCATGAACGATAGACTATCATTCGTCGCGACAAGTTTCTTATAGACTCGTATGAAATCACTCCTCCTATCAAAATTGATAAACTTGATGTCGCCAGGTTTCACAAACTTACAAGCCACAGCTCACTTCTAGGTAATTCTGATGAGTTGAAACTGACTCGAAGTCTCAAATTTCCCATCCTTCAATAGACATTTC